GGAATGGCTTTGAAACCTACCTGGCAACAGAGCCTGCCTGGCAACAGGCTATGATTGGATGGCTTTGGAAACTGCCTGGCAACAGGCTGTGATTGGTTGGGGCATAGACTGCCCCTTGACCAGATTGGCTGGTCTTGGCTATATAAGATGTTGTACCAACTGAAATAAACGAGTCTGCGGGCTGCTTGCCTCAAGCCCGCTTTCACCCGACTCCCGGGGTCTGTGTGGTGACTCGGGCACCTCTTGGCCCACCACGCTCCTCCTCTCAGAAACGAATCCACTGCAACATTGTTGAGAAATCAACTGCAACATCCCCCCCCACACACTTCCACTAGGACCACAGGCGACTGCCAGCTCCCTGGGCTCCAGTCCAGACCCACACCAGGCTTTCTCTTGCTCTATCCCCACGGATTGGTGCAGATCGACCTCCCCCACTGTCTCAGAAATGCTCAGGCTCTCCAGGACTGTAGTTCTTTGGGTGCGTGTTAGCACTCACCACGCAGGTTCAAGCCATTTCCCTCCTCCTGTGGGCCTTCCCAGGGGGTTTTCTCTCCTCTTCTCTGCCGAGCATGCACCTCCTACCCTATTCTCTGCACTGTTTGTTCCTAGCCTTTTCTCCACTAGATTCTTTTTACTTTGAAGCAACAAAACCCTTCAGACTGTAGGCTTGGAACAGAGAACACGTGTTTACTGCTGTAATAAATAGCTAGATTTCTTTGGGATTCAAGTCTAGAGTTGGGGTTTGGTTTCTATAAAGGTGATCAGGTGGCTGTAGATGTCTAGAATGTATAAATTTTATCTACTCTTCCTATTACACTTCAGTAGAGCCTCAAATTCCCCTTAACCACTTCCACATCCTGAGTAACGTAGAATGGGCAGGAATGCCTTGCAGTTGCTCTTCTACTTCTGCCATAAAACCTCTCCTCAGTAGTTTTTGGACTGATCCTCACTCTGAGTAGCTGTCAAGATCAAATGAAGGACTACAGGGAAAGAGTTTAGAACATGCCTGGCTCACTGCAGGCCTGTGATATGTGATATACTGTCATTTGTGAGATATGTAATATGTGCTATATTATCTATGTGAAACATCTTAAAAATATTACCCTATAAAATATTCAAAATAGTTAATTCTTCAAGAAATAGTCTTAGAAATAGTCTACCATAGGTCTCCAGCACCTTTTCCTATGAAACAATAACTGATGTAGCTTTTGAATGGGGGGGGGTGGTGGTGGATTCACATGGTCCCAGGCACCCTAACAGATTCCATCTGAGCCTGGTTCTTAAGATTTATTTTATGTGTTTGAAAGGCTGAGTTAGAGAGCAAGAGAGACTGAGATCTTCTGTCCACTGGTTCACTCCCCAAATGGCCACAATGGTTAGAGCTGGGGCATGCTGAAGCAAGGAGCCTGGAACTCCATCCTGGTTCACTTGTAGATGGCAGGTGACCAGATACATGACTCATCTTCTGCTTTCCCGGGCACATTAGCAGGGAGCTGGATTGAAAGTGGAGCAGCCAGGGGCCGGTGCTGTGGCATAGCAGGTAAAGCCACTGCCTGTGGTGCCAGCATACCATATGGGTACTGGTTTGAGTCCTGGCTGCTCCATTTTCAATCCAGCTCCCTGCTAATGTGCCTGGGAAAGAAGTGGAAGATGGTCCAAGTGCTTGGGCTCCAGCACCCACATGCAAGAGCTGGAAGAAGCTCCTGGCTTCAGATTAGTTCAGCTCTAGCCATTGCAGCCATTTGGGGAGTGAACCACCGGATGGAAGACCGACGGACCTCTCCCTCTCCTCCCCCTCCCCCTCCCCGCCTCTGCCTCTCTGTAATTCTTCCTTTCAAATAAATCTTAAAAAAAAAAAAAAAAAGGTGGAGCAGCCAGACTTAAATTGGTGCTCATATGAGATGACAGCTTTGCAGGCACTGGCTTAACCTTCTGGCCACAGTGCAGCCTGCTTTTTAAATTTATTTTCATTTATTTGCAAGGAGAGGCAGATTTTTCATCTGCTGGTTTATTCCCCAAACGCCTACAACAGCCAGGGCTGAGCTAACACAAAGCCAGGATCCTAGCACTCAATCCAGGTCTGCCACATGGGTGGCAGGGACCCAAGCACTTGAGCCCTGAGGGTATGTACTAGCAGGAAGCTTGAGTGGAAGCAGAATAACACTTCAAGCAGGCACTCCAACATGGGATACAGGAGTCCCACATGGTGACTTACCCACTGTATCGGATGCCAGCACAGTGTGTGCCTATTTTAGCCTTATGTTGTGGTTGTCAAACTTTACTCACCAGAACCCCCAGAAGGTATGCATAACTACACTTTGCTTGGCTACACCTGGAGTGTCCAATTCCACTGGCCTAGCTACAGATTCCCTGGAGATACTGCTTCTACTCACCCAAGAACCACACTTTGAGAACCTGGATCAAGGTCTAAATATTTGAAAATCCTCATGAGTGTCTGCTAGCTGCAAGCCTACATTCATATGTAGTCAACCTTGGCTGCATTTTAGAGCCACTTAGGAATATTTTGAAGACTACCCGAGACAGACCAATGAAGTCAACTCTCTGGAGGGTGCTATCCAATGTAGCTATGGTTTAGGAACTTTGCACAAGTGATTCTGACTTCAACTAGCATGAAGACCCACTGACCTGAGCAGCACCCAGTGAACAGTTCTCAAAGGCTAAGTATCTCCTAAGTCACTGGACAGAGAATGACGCAGGTGATTTCCAGGACGTTGTTCCAGACAGTTCACAGTTCCTCCAATCCTGAAGCTGTACCCTCTGAGAGTCTATATTTTGTTGCCTTAGAGAAAAGTAATTTTGAAAAACTGAATCCATACTCTACAGGAAATCCATACTGCTGGAGGAAAAAAAAATTTCATTTAACCAAGGTTTACTGAACTCTTTGGAGAGCCAAGGAAAGATGAAATATTTTTCATCTTTCATTTTTTTCATCATCACTTATTAGTGGTTCTTGTCCTTAGACATTTCACTCCAGTAGGGCTATAGGCTTTTTTAAAAAAAAAAATTATTTGAAAGAGTGACAGAAACATAGAATGGAGGGAGGGATCTTCAATGGCTGGTTTACTCCCCAAATGGCTGTAATGACCTGCGTTAGGCCCAGCCAGAGCAGGAGAGGCAGCTGTTTCCCACGTTTGGCAGGGTCCCTGAGCACTCAGGCCGTCATCCTCTCCTTTCCCAGGCACGTTAGCAGAGAGCTGGATGTGAAGGAGGGGCAGCCGCTACTCAAACCTGTTACCCATGTGGGATGCTGGCACCGCAAGTGGTGACTTTTTTTTAATTAAGAATTCTTTTTTAAAATATTTATTTGAAAGGCAGAGTTAGAGACAGAGGCAAACGAGGGAGAGAGAAGTCTGTCTTCCATCTGCTGGTTTACAACCCAATGGCCACAATGGCCGAAACTGGGCCAATCTGAAACCAGGAGCTTCTTCTGGGTCTCCCACGTGGGTGCAAGGGCCCAAGCACTGGGGCCATCCTTTACTGCTTTGCCAGGCCACAGCAGAGAGCTGGATCAAAGTGGAGCAGCCGGGACTCCAACCGGTGCCCCATATGGAAGGCTAGCATTGCAGCTTTACCCACTATGTCACAGCCCCAGCCCCAGCCCCAGCCCCAAGCAGTGGCTTAACTAGCTTGCACTGTAACACCAGCTCCAGAGCTGTTTTTTTGTTTAAAGTGTGAATACACTTATCAATAGCACATCATTTTGATCAAGCTAGTCAAAACTAATTTTAATGAGACCAAAAGCTTTTCTAAAGGAGAACAGAGTGTGCCTACTAGCAATCATTTAAGAAACACCATCTGCGGGGTGTGGCACAGTGGGTAAAGCCTCCTGCAGTTGCCGGCATCCCATATGGATGCATTTGAGTCCCAGCTGCTCTACTGCCAATCCAGCTCCCTACTAAAGCACCTAGGAAAGCAATGGAGGAAGACCCGAGTGCTTGGGCCCCTGCACCCACATGGGAGACCCTGATGAAATGCCTGGCTTCAACCTGGTTCGGCCCTGGTCTATGGCAGCCATCTAGAGTGACGCAATGGATGGAAGATCTCCTCCACTCTATATATAATAACTCTTTAAAATAAATCTTAAAAACAGACACCATCTGCATCAAGTAGAATAAGGGATTAGAATAAGGGATCATCTTTATGGATGACCCTTTACAAGACTTTTGCTCATTTTTCTATCACATTTCCAAGTCGGTGCTAAGATATTCAGAGGACAAAAGGGGTCGGTCCCCTTTAGAAACCTTTACCAAGCCTCGGCAGGGGCAGGCACAGCCTGGTACAAGTAAAGCAGGAATACTTGGCTGGCCTTATCCCCAGACAACGGGGGAGCCACTGAAAGGTTTTAAGCAATATTTCAAAAGATAAAATTTCTTGGCCACTGTGGAGGGATTCAAAGGTGTAACCTTGCAGTAAGAAAACAGGAGAGGGGGCAGAGTTGTGGTACCGAGGGTTAAGCCGCCAATTGTAATCCCAGCATCCCATGCTGAAGCACCTGCCAGCCTCTGTTTTAGCTTGGCCCAACCCCCAGCCATTGTTGCCATTTGGAGAGTGAACCAGCAGATCTGTCTCCTTCCCTGTCACTGCCTTTGAAATAAATCTTAAAGGGGGGAGGGGTGGTCCATGTAGTTGTGGGAATGAAAGACCAGAGGGACTAGAGGATGAATGAGAACTAAGGAGTTTTAGACTATGCAGAGAAGAGGGGGAATGATGCAGATTTATACTTTGAGTCACAAAGTGGTTGGGGAAAGGATGATGACTAGGTTTTGATGGGGAATATGATAAATTTGGCTAAGATGATGGCTTTAAGTTCCTGTAAAACAGAGGGGCAGGGTGATCAATAAATGGTTAATACAGATGAAGAACTAAGAATAATCCTGAGTTAGAGATGGGGGTTTGGGAGTCCCCTATGTATACCTAAGGGGTTCATGTGGCTAAAACTTTGTAAGTATGAGATCACCTGCTGCATCTGGCTACTTAAATAGAACTTAGTTAATAAAATTGTTTCTTACTCGTGCTAGTCACAGTTCAAGGGCTTGAGGGCCAGTGACAAATCGCTAGGGACTTCTATACTGGGCGAGCAGATTTCAAACATTCTCATCACTGCAGAACATTTTATCAGACTGTTGCACAGCGGCTATAGAAAGTCCTGATCAAAAAAGGCCAGAAGGCAGAGGCAAGACCCCCGGAGGATACTGAGGACGGGTGAGGCGGCCAACCCAAAAGCCAAGGGAGATGGAGGAGGCAGGGACTCGGGCACTGGGACATGTAAGTTGTCCACCTGTGATTGAGAGGTTACTGGATATGTCCCAAGAGGTCACACTGTTCATAAAAACTAGTAATATTTGAGAATTCATTACACAAACTAGTCAATAAAAGTTATGGTCTCACAATAGGCTCTGGATTTTTTTGAGATTTCATTGTTTGCCTTAAAGATCTTCAATACTACTTGATGCCTGAAAACACGAAATGAGCTGACCATAACACTACAGCTGAGTCTGGGGGTTGTGCAGTGAGAACAAAACTTGTACCTAAATGAACTCGGAGAGAATGTGAAATACTCATCATGGGAGAACAAGTTGTAACGATGCAAAATCTCTCCGCAAAAGGCATGTGGTGATCTCTCAATGTGTCCCCTTATGCTTATGTGGCAACCCTAGTGTCACTCAAAATGAGGGTACTTCAAAAAATTTGTGGAAAGTTTCATACAAAAATTTCTGAAATCCACATGTTTTCCTTATACATATTTTCCATAACTTTGTGATGATCCCTGTATTCACGAACAGTTCACTTTAAGAAACAACAAAAACTCAGGTAACTGAAAGTTCCTGAGAGAAAATAATTACATCTTCACACAAAGTCTTTACAACATTATATTTCATAAAAGACAATGATAAAAAAGTACAAACATCTCCATGAGAAGCAAAACAAAAAAATGAGAGTACAAGAAATTACTAGCATTTATTTCAGTGCATTTATGTAGAAGCCTCTCATTTAATAAATAAAATCTTAAGTACACTTCTTTCTGAAACGCTATGACCACTGTCGTTATCTCAATTGGCATATTTGCAAATCCAAGGCAATAAATCTAGAGTACTACTTATTGGAAAAGTACACAAAGAAACTGACAGACAAGCAAAGGTCAAATAAAGTGACACAAATCCGCTTTCACTTGTAGGAAGCCTCCAAAAGGAGACACTGTATTGGATATTTTCCCATTTTGTACTAAAATGAGTATCTTGACTGGGAAAGATGGTTTTAATACAGTTTTGTGTTTATATAATAAGGTGAATATTTCTTACTAACCACCTCTTTATAAAATGCAAACTTAGTTATCATTAAGTTCTAGAATTAAATCCAAAGTCCCAAATGACTACCACCACTGTGAACTAGATACACCTTACAGCTGATGTGTGCACTTCTCCCCTTTTTTCTAACAGACCCACCAATCATCATTTCACTAGCTGAAAGGCACTAAATAATCTTGTTCCTAATACCACAGGGACCTAATAGCTCCAAGTCAACAAATAATGGTTTCTTGACTTTGACACGGAGAAATTTATCAAGTTATCAGAGGATGTCTTCATAATTGCAGAAGGGCTTTACTTGCTTGACTTTGAGAAATGAAGTTATATTTTCCAATAGTCATACCTAGCACTGTACCTGACAGAGGAGATGATCAATACATCATCATAAATAAACCCAGCAAGCGTACCATAATGATGGTTTGCACTTATAATGCAAATGCATTTGTTAATCTTTATGGGATAGATTTATTGTCATACAATGAAGATAACTGGGTAAAGCTCTGTCACTCTTATGGAAACACATAAAGGTCACTGTTCAGGCCGGCGCCGTGGCTCAATAGGCTAATCCTCCACCTTGCGGCGCCGGCACACCGGGTTCTAGTCCCGGTCAGGGCGCCGGATTCTGTCCCGGTTGCCCCTCTTCCAGGCCAGCTCTCTGCTATGGCCAGGGAGTGCAGTGGAGGATGGCCCAGGTGCTTGGGCCCTGCACCCCATGGGAGACCAGGAAAAGCACCTGGCTCCTGGCTCCTGCCATCGGATCAGCGCGGTGCGCCGGCTGCAGCGGCGGCCATTGGAGGGTGAACCAACGGCAAAGGAAGACCTTTCTCTCTGTCTCTCTCTCTCACTGTCCACTCTGCCTGTCAAAAATAAAAAAAAAAAAAAATAAAAAAAAAATAAAGGTCACTGTTCATAAGCAAAAATTTCAAGTTTGCACTTAAAAAGCAAAAATAAAAACCACACTGGCGAGGTGGTTTTCACAGGATGATACTCTATTTGAAACTGAGAAAAGAAACAATATTGATGTCCCGTTCTTAAAAATTAGTCAGATTTTCCCCCCAACAAGTAGATACTCCTAGTGCTGAGTTCTCCTAAAACTGTAAAATGTATATTAAAATGAAAACAATACCATAAGTGGACAGCTCCATATGAAATGAGAGAACTTACTCCCTAACACAATTCAGAAAGAATCCTGATTTCCCCACCATTGAAATCTTAAGTTTTATTGGGCTAATGATGCTCCACTCTCCCTACTCTGTTGTTAGTGGCCCACAAATGTTAACATTCCTGATTTTTTCCATCCAATTAAAGAACTACATTGGTGATGAGACAGAAAATGAACAAATTAAATGCAAATAACTTCATTTTCAAAAAGTTTGATTTTTTTCATTACTTCAACTTTGAAAATTTTTGAAGTATTTCTAATAAGTATGGAAAAATTCTGTTTGGTACATTAACAGAGAAGCTATCGGTTTTCTCAAAGTATAGGAATTTCAATTATTTTATTTGGTTTGTGGTCGTTTTTATTAACAGAATTACCATAGAAAATAAATTAAGCCTAGAACATGAGATAAATAACCATATTTCTGTGAAATGTCCATGAGGCAAATGTTATCCAAACATCTTAGATTTCTATGATTCATTATTGCTGAAGAGTCACCTCAGACAAATTTTAATTGTGTGACATCTTAATACTTCTGATAACTATACTTGATATCAAGTAGTAAGACTTGTTTTCAGATGTGTTATATTAATGTGTTTAACTAATGTATTTAAAAGTGAAAAAATATATAATTTGAATGAAACTGACTGTGAAAGGGTCCCTTCCAAAAGTGAAATTCTGTAAATCGATAAACTTAAAATGTTTTATTACTAGGCATTTGTCATAAAAATATAACATTTAATTTCTTATCTAATAGAATATTTGTATATTATACGTACTATTGGGTTTTCCCTAGCTTATTCTTTTGAAAGAAAAATATTTTGGCTCTCCTGAACTGAAAATCATGAAAATGTTGTTCACTATGAATTGTTAAAAAAAAAAAAGTATATAAACATATGACCTTGGGGACATTTGAGGCACAAAATCCCTGACATGACAGCAGAGGTACATGAGACACTTAACACACACAGGTCCTTTCTTCATGTCACATGACAACTTGTAAGATTTTCTTGGTAATACTCATGCAATATGCATAAATGATATGGTTGTGATTCAGCAAAATCTGATGAGATTGCAAGCAAGGAAAAAATTAGGTAATCCTGGTAGGAAGGAAAGCTTCAAGTCCTTTCCTTCTTCCCCTTGAAAGCCCTAAGAAAGCGTGCCTTCTTCCACATGAGGCAGAAGGGCTAAAGCTCAAAACTAGGATAACAGTTGACATATTAATTGGCCATCAATTCCTGACAGCTCCTTCATTTCACACAAGGGTTAACCTTTGTTTAGTGACATAAATTTCATGTGTTTTCATGCAATTAAAAAACATCTATAAAAGTCCAATAAAGGCATAACCAATTACATGCAAACTGCGACACATCTTATTTTCAACAATTTGAACACGTTAATTTATATCACATATGTACAAAATGTTTAAACGGAAATAAAAGCATTCTCTTAAATTATAGATTTTAGTATAAAAATTTTCTTGTAGGGAGCGCTCAACTTCCAATCTCAAGCAAAGGCTTCTGGTTTTTGCAGTGCTCGCCGTGGGGGGTGCACCCCTAGGAGGGAGGGGAGGGAGAAGGTGACCACAGCAGGTCCAGGCTGTAAACACTGAGGACTGGGCTCTTTCCGGAGAACAGGGCACCGCCACATCCAGCCGCCAGCCTCCATCCTCCATTCAGAGTCCACTGCAGGTTTACAGTCAGCATTGTAGTCTGTCTGGCCCTGGGGGCTACTTTTAATAGTCTTCTATTGGAGCTAACTCTGGCATGAGGTTTACAGATATATTCGTATACAATCTATCAACCAGAATTTTTGGTGAATATATTAAATTGTTCAGCCCATCGATGTACTGACGCTCTTTAGAATACCTTAGTAATTTATACCTATAGTGTTAGAGGAAAGAAAGAATAAAACATGTTCAAACAGAATATTGATGAGGAATACATTCCATGTCAACTTAAAATGTAATCATTTAAAACTCTTACCATTTTTGGTTTTTGTTCATAATTAAAAATCTCTAAACCATGATTCCAAATTATCATTTTTACTAGTCAAAATATACCACATGAAGAAAAGTCACTTTGCATTCTTAGACCTCCCTAAGAAACTAAATGTGTTGTTTATATGAGGAAAACACTTTCGGGGCCGGCAACTGTGGCATAGCAAATAAAGTCACTATCTGTGATGCCAGCAACCCTTATGGGCATGGGTTCCAGTCCCAGCTGCTCCACTTCCAATCTAGCTCCCTGCTAATCACCTGGGAAAAGCAGTGGAAGATGGCCCCAAGTGCTTGGGCCCCTACACCCAACTGAGAGACTGGGATGAAGGATGAAGCTCCTGGCTTCAGTCTGGCCCAGCAGGCAAATGACTGTGCTCTGACTTAAAGAATCTTTAACAACATTTTTTCAAATAATTTACTGAATTCTTTGCAATGTGGATGTATATGGGTATCTCTTCAGAATGAGGACAAAAGTGCTTTCCTTCCATAAAAAAGTTCCCTTCAAATTTTATGGTGCAGTTTTTTACTTTGCACATATTAAATATCATTGAAACCTTGGAATCTAAACTTACCGTCCTAAAAATTGGACTTCCCCTCGATGGTGATGAGGAATAGACTTGTACTTTCCCAAGTCTCCCTCTGGTCGGGTTACATTATATCCAGCATAGTGAACTCTACAATATAATATATGGAAATGAAAATACAAAGAAATAAAATCTCACCAAAAATGGATGTTGAGTTAAATTTTAAAATGTAAAAGAATGCCCAAATATGTATGCTGTCAATTTCAGAAGCCACTCAATGGACAAAACAGGATTTAGAAACGTCAAATTTTCCATGCTTTCATGGAATACACAAGAATGATTTACCTACCAGAATGAAACTTACAGAAATTCTATTAAGCAGTTTATACCCTAACATACCTGTTCCAAAGATCGTCATCTTCTCCTCCCCATCCCCAGAAGGCATTAGGGAAACCATTGATCTTTCTAAACTGTTCCACTGTCAGTCCACTTACACCACCAAAAAACTCTTTGTATGGAAGACTGAAAGAAAGCAGACACATCAAGCTAAACACGAAACCAGGCACTGCCTTAATGCAACCAAGTTTTCAATCTTTCATGTACTTTACAAGTCTACCTCCCTGTTTTCTGTATAAACACATTATGTAGTATTTTGTAAAATGTAAACTATACCAAGAAACAATATCTTTATATTCCAAAGAAACAAAGCAAAACATTTGTAGTAGAAATTTATTTAAGGGATAACTTGTCTGACTTGACTGTCAAGGAACAGTTTTGTTTTTTTTTTAACCATGTTGAGTAAAGAGTTTGACAAATAGTATAATCATGCATATAAATTCAACCAAAGATGGATCTCAAAAAAATAGTGGGAATAAGGGAGGAGAAAGATTGTACCTGTAAAGCTGTATACATGCCTACAGACTCCTGTCTAAGGATACAGTTTAAAAATTTGCCATGGGACTCCAAATTGCATTAAGCTGGGTGGTAAAAATGCCATTTTGTGTTACAGTAAACATATAGATAGGATTAAGTGTTAAAGTGATATCAATAGGATCAAGTGTCTGGTAATAATAAAGATAGGATTAAAAAGGGAGAATGTTCCAACATGGGAAGCAGTCCACACAGCAGACTCAGAATGACAATAGCTTTAAGTAGCACTCTAACCTCAGAATCAGCCCTTAAGGTATTCTGGTCTGGTCTGGCTGAAAAGCCCACGAGAGCATTTCAGGCACGGAAAGTCAACATGCTGTGGCAAAAAATGTTCTACATGAAGGATCTCTGTGAGTGAGACACCAGTGGAAACATGGGGCCATCAAAGAAGGATGTATCTTCCTCTAAAGGGAGGGAAAGAACTTTCACTTCACTTATGGCCTTATCTAAATACTAATGGAGATTGTGGATTCAAAAGACTTCCATAGCTCATGTCAAGAGCCTCAGGTGTTCACTGACCTTATGAGTGTTAATTGTTAAATTAACAACAGGAGTCACTGTGCACTAATTTCCCATTCAGGACCTCTGCCCTTAATGAGTTGTATTAATAGAGTTAACTGTAAAATTTGTTCTCGGTTTGTGTATATGTGCACATGTTGTTGAAATCTTTAGTTAGTATAGAGTTGGTCTTCTGTGTACAAAGTTAATTGAAAATGAATCTTAATGGAGAATGAGACTGGGAAGGCAAGAGGGAGGTGGAGGGGTGAGTATGGGTAAGAGGGTGGGTATGATGGGAAAAATAACTATGTTCCTGAAGTTGTACTTATGAAATCTGTATTCATTCAACAAAAGGTTTCTTTGGGGAAAAAAAAATTCAGTGCTTTAAAAGACTGAAATTACACAGTATTTTCACAACTGTAAGTGAACTTGATTAAATACAGCATTAACTGTCAATGCAATGTTAACTGTTGCTAAAATTTTACTATATAAAAGCAAATCTAGCATTTAATTTTGAAATAACTAGCTGCTTATTCATATATTCAGAAGATACTTAATATTTAAAAATACCTTCAGTGCAGTAATGTTTAGAAAAATAATTTAACTTCGAAATAACTTCTTAAATTTGAATTTTGTTTCTTATTCTTCCCTAAATTCATACTCCAAGGAATTTGCCAAACCATGCAATGTTTTTAAACTACATTTTTAATCCTACAGATTGGTTTCCTGACATAAAGGCAGCATCCCCTGACCTGCATTCCTGAAGAAATTACTGCGGCCTAGAAGGTGCTGCTAGGGAGTGGCGTGCCACAGCCACTGTAGGGGTGAAGCCAATGTGCAGCACCAGCATCCAAAGTGTTGCACGTTAAGGAGGGGCACACGCCTCACATTGTCAAGGGGGGAAGAAATGCTGTCTGCCCACCAGAACTTGAGTTGGCTGAGGAACCAGATGGAGTTGGGGTTGTAGGAGAAAGCCTGGGCTGGGACCAAGAGTGCTAACAGTGCCCCAGGACAGTAACAGCAACCTGGAGCCTAAAGGCTGCATCCTCTCCAGGGTGTCGACATCCTGAGGCTCCTGTCTGGGAGCTTAGTGTTCTTCTAACACAACACGGGACCTGCAGTGTTCTGGACAGGGTTCTTTGCCACACCAGGTGGATTATTCTTGCTCAGGCCAGCAAGTCATCACCCAAGAATGAATAAATGAGTGTATGTGACATATGTAAGTCAGCAAGCATATCCATTCCACTTGCTGTTCTGCTTAAGTTTGCACAATATACAGAATGGCAAACGCTGAGATAAAATGAACGCACAATGAACTAAAGAATGGAAAAGGGAACTCAAGCTCAAATTGTCACATTGTCCAAAATGGGACACTAAATCCGGCAGCAGTGTAAACTTTACACTGCAGAGCAGAGGGCTTCCCAGCTCCAAGCTATTGCCAGGGGGAGGGAGGGCAGAGGAGCCCACCTGAGTTAAGCACTCTGAAGTCACCTTCAGAGACAAATACAACTAACCAAGTGCTATACCTCTAAGTGTGGGAACCTCTACGTAAGGAACCACCCAGATAGATGACAAAGCCTGCTCTCTACGTCCTGGCTCCCTAGCAGGATGGGTTGTAGTCAAGATACTGTTTAGGCTCTGGAGTTTAGGTTTGGTACCTAATGCTGCTACCAATTCAGTTCTACTCATAGGGCTTTGTAAGAATACTGTACCACATCAAGAACAGGCTGCACTACTCACATGTACATGTATTTATCCAGCTTTGCAGCAAAATGACGGGGCATTTCTCCACAGCCGTAATAGTTGCGATCATTTTCTGGTAGATGATCCACATCGTGGAAGATGACACAGTCCCAGCCATTGTCTTTCATGGCCTCTTTGAAGCCCACATTGAAGAGCATCGCACGGTTAAAAGGCTGTGTGCCAGTCTACACAGGGCAAACCAAGTGGAGAAACAAATGCCATGTCATCTTATTTTCTATGTGTGTTTAACTTGCTGAATCATAGTAGGATAATAATTACACCCAAATAATATAAGTAATAAACATACTATCCAAGTTTACAATAACGTGGTAAATTGTGTATTTCAAAATCAAAGTAATTTTTTTCTTTTATTCAATCTATTAGAACAATCATTTATATAATTTATATTCTCTACTTCAAATACATAGATAATTTATGATCAGAAAGAAATTAGATCATCAAAATACAACCTAGGTTTTGTTTGGTGGCTTTCTGTATGCCATAAAGACTAAACAAAGAAGGAAGTTAAGAGGGACTCGGTGACCTTCTATGTAACAAAGCAGGGAGACCTAACTTTGTGCTGCTAATGCTTGTAATGCCAACATTTTAGAGGAAAATAATTCCTTACACAAAATCTGCTTCCTTTATTACTGAGCACTTTAAGGGCCAAGAAAATAGGAGTATATGACACAGAACCCAGCCACCTACGTTGCAACCACTTTCCTTCATTTACTACTGAAAATATATTAAGGTATCCTGGCAATAAGTTTCATTCTGTATCTAAAGAGAATTAGCACTTACTGATATCTTAATATTTCTCAATCATTTCTGAAATATACAGAAAGATTATGACACCAGTGAATGAGATACAAGGTAGCCATCATGGGAGTTCTGCCTCAAGAGTGAAAAAATCTGTTACCTCAAATTAGTGCAAGACCCAGGACTAAATTTTTTGCAAGTGAAATGGAGACAAAAAGGAAGTTAAATAACATTATTTTACATCAACATAAGCTTTAACAAACTAAGGTTTTAAAAACTGTTCTTTAACACTGTGGCACAGCGGGTTAAAGCCCTGGCCTGAAGCACCAGCATCCCATATGGGTGCCAGTTCTAGTCCTGGCTGCTCCTCTTCTGATCCATCTCTCTGCTATGGCCTGGGAAAGCAGAAGATGGCCCAAGTCCTTGGGTCCCTGTACCCACGTGGGAGACCCAGAAGAAGCTCCTGGTTTGATTGGCACAGCTCTGGCTGTTGTGGCCATCTGAGGAGTGAACCAGTGGATGGAAGACCTCTGTCTCTACCTCTAACTTTCAAATAAATAAAATCTTCAAAAATTTTTTAAATGTGGACATGATACTTAAAGTTTGTAAGTTCCAGCATAATCCATCTCCATCCCCCAAGAGCAATGCATTCCAACTCTTCAAGCTGTTTAAAATATGAAGGTAAATACCAGAATAGTCATAAAAGTTCTAGTATTTCTCACCTCCTTAACTTTAGCCGTGGTGTTGACTTATGATAATGGAAGGGTTGAGCCACCACACAGACTCCCTCCATTCTCCTAATACACAATCATTTCAGACTTCTTGGTGAAGCCATTTACCTTGTTAGAATTTACTGTAACCATTTCTTTGGGACTCAGTAAACTTTTTTCTTAAACTAGGATGAAGTGTGGTTTTCCACGTAGCTCTTATTCCTACAACAGGCCCAATTCCCACTACCCTCCAGCTCCAGTCTGAATCAGTTGTTCTCTGGACATCCATGACTGTCCTCCAGGCCTTCCTCACCCTAGACCATCCATGTCTTCTACTTGTCTAGTGTACTGTTGTACGCCTCAGTCGCTTTCTAATAAGAGCACATGGAAACCACTGTGTGTGTGTGTGCATGCACACATGCATGTATGCACTCAGTGACAACCCACTCGGGAATTTTATACCCAAATTACTTTAACCTAGGGGCAGACATTTGGCCTAGTGGTTAAGCCACCAGCTGGGACATCTGTATCCTGTAACATCTGCATGCCCCATCAGGGCTTGTGGGTTCAAGTCCCAGCTCCACTCCCAATTAGCAAGAAGCTTCAATTGGGAGTGGAGCTGGGACTTGAATAATGTGTACCCTGAGAGACCACAGGGGATGGCTCAGGTAGTTAGGTCCTTGTTACCACGTGGGAGTACTGGATTGAGTTTCTAGCTCCCAAATTCACCGGCTTTCACAGCAACTGGAGGTGTTCTCTGTGTTGTTCCTCCTCTCTATTTCAGTGAGAGAAAGGTCTTCCTTTTCCATTGGTTCACGCCTCGAATGGCCACTGTGGCTGGTGCACCACACTGATCTGAAGCCAGGAGCCAGGTGCTTCTCCTGGTCTCCCATGCGGGTGCAGGGCCCAAGGACCTGGGCCCTCCTCCACTGCACTTCTGGGCCACAGCAGAGAGCTGGCCTGGAAGAGGGGCAACCGAGACAGAATCAGGCACCCCGACCGGGACTAGAACCCTGTGTGCTGGTGCCACAGGTGGAGGATTAGCCTATTGAGCTGCGGCACCAGCCCCCTCCTCTCAATTTTTAAAATTACTTTTCCCTAGAATTTTAAAGACATGATTTCAGAATCTTCCAGCTGTTAAGTATTACTAGAAACATTCATACTTTTGATTCATAATCATTTTTCATTTTCCCTAGTATAACCATTTAATATCTTGTATTCTAAAACTTCAAAATATACTTCTATAGTGCATCTACATTTATTTTTTAAGATTTATTTATTTGAAAGGCAGAGTTAGGCAGAGGCAGGGAGGAGAGAAATCGAGAGGAGGCTTGCGACGCCGGCGCCCCAGGTTCTAGTCCCTGTTGGGGCGCCGGATTCTGTCCCAGTTGCCTCTCTTCCAGTCCAGCTCTCTGCTATGGCCTGGGAGTGCAGTGGAGGATGGCCCAGGTCTTTGGGCCCTGCACCCTCATGGGAAACCAGGAGGTAACACCTGGCTCCTGGCTTCAGATCGGCGAGCGCGCCGGCCGCAACACACTGGCCATAGCAGCCACTTGGAGGGTGAACCAACGGAAAAGGAAGACCTTTCTCTCTGTCTCTCTCACTGCTCTGCCTGTCAGAAAAGGAGAGAGATCGATCTTCTGCTTTCCCAGTCCATAGCAGAGAGCTGGATTGGAAGTGGAGCAGCCAGATCTCGAACGAGCAGCCAGATCTCGAACCAGCACCCATCTGGGATGCTGGCACTGCAGGCAGTGGCTTTTACGTGCTACATCGCAGCACCAGCCCCAAGAACTTTCTTATTCTCTGTTCTTTGTTAACTCATAGTCCAGATCCACTGAGAGTATTTTTTTGTTTTTGTTTAAAAGATTTCCTTTGTTCCCTCTGTCTCTTTTCTATACTCTCCCTGCCCCCTTTGTCATCTCTTGTGGAGCCTTCCTTCAAAACCTGGGGATCCGTGGGGCTGGCGCTATGGCACAGTGGGTTAAGCTGTCACCTACGTTCCGGGTCATGTCCAGGCTGTTCCACTTCTGATCCAACTCCCTGCTAATATGCCTGGAAAAGCAGAAGAGGGCCCAAGTGTTTGGGCCCCTGCCACCCACGTGGGAGACCTGGATAAAGCTCCTGGCTTCGGTCTGGCTGATGCAGCCACCCGGGGAGTTAACCAGCAGATCTGTGTCTCCCTCTCTGTAACTTGAGTTTCAAAATAAGTCAGTCTTAAAAGTCATTTTAAAAAAAAAAAAATTGGAGATCCCTGACTACATATTCACGTGTGAGAAGACACTAAAAAGCTGAGGGACTCTCCCGATAAGTAAACAGGGGGCGTGTCAAACCACTCTTGACTCGAACACAGATAATCAAAACAGATTAGACAAAAGGTACATACCTCACCCAGTGTCCAAAAGTGCGCAGCTCTCACAAGGGCAGTGCCCTTCCTGTTCCAGACCAAAATGTGGCAACAATCCTTGACCTCCGTTACTCATGTCTCCTATCCAACTCACCAGCAAATCACACCACATTTAAACCTACCTCCTCCACTGGGACAGCAGCCTGCCAGTATCAGCATCTCCTACCTGGACAGCTGCACGCTTGGATCATGCCCTGTCCCACTGCTGCCAGACTATCATTCCTCCAGTGAAAACCCTCCAGTGGGCCCCGTCCTTTAGTACTTGCTCCTCGCCCCATTTCTCCAGTTTCCTCCCCAGCGGCCGCCTCCACCTGCTGTTCTGGCGACACTCAGTCCTCTGCCCGCCTGGAGCACACTCCCTCCACACCAGCATGACTTGCTCCTCGGCATCATTCAAGGCTGTTCGGCTCTGATCTCGCCCCAGAGAGGCCTTGACCGTGTCTCTGCCCTGGTCCTGAGCGCTACCTGACATACTGTGCAATTATTTACCATCTGTTCCCTCCCCAAACTGGAGGAGGCCTCATCAGGTTTGTTCACTGCATGAACCCCTTTGTGCATGAAGGAAAGCGGGCTGCAGAGGGGTGTGGTAAGTGAGGAATGGGCCTCTTCCTCTGGAGACCTCCAAATACTAGATCTGGATCTCCTCCCTGAGGCTAATCTGTTTCTCTAAGGAAGATCTCACTCACGTTCTGCCACCTTTAGGGGGTTGAGGGGTTCACACCGGACTGCTGGCTTCAAAAAGCCAGACAGGGAAAAGGCCCGAGAGTCCCCTGGGTCAGACACCAGGATAATTTAATCCCCTGGTCCTCAAACCCCACAGCACAGCTGTGTGACCAGAGTCAGAAGCTGCTCTGGCAAACTGTCTTCACAGGATAAATTTTCCCTTTTCTACAACAGAGTGACTGCCTGGTAATACACGCAAAGACAAGGACCTGAGGATTTGGCTGTTAAAAAGCTAGATTATAAAACACTCTCTCTGGTTTTGTCCAGCGTTTCAGCCTGTTTCCTAGGCCAGCTTTCAAGTGCTGAGATTCTCGGGGGTTGTCCAGCAAACGGACCCCATCCTTCACCATCGGGTCTGAACATCCCCTGCCCTGCTCGGGCTGCCACGCCCCCTCTGCTTCGGCACTGCCAGCAGGTGAACTCTCCTGCTGTCCTTGTCGATTAATAAGATATTTTCTCATTTTAGGACTTTGGAAAGAAGAGGTAAACCCACATGTAATCCTCCATATTGAACCAGGATTTCTGAGTTGCTCTTCAACTGCTTAGCACTTCTCTGGGCATTCATCCAACAGAAAAATTACTCTCCTATTTCATACTGATCAATGCTGAGACCCAGTCTTAAGAGGTTTGAACATAAAAATATGGGTCCTAGTCACACTGTTAAGACTTCTTCATTACATTCACAAAATCAATCGGTGCTGCTGACCTCTCAGGAGAATATGCCTTTAAAACTGGGTAATTTGTCTCCCAACACATTTCAAAAATGGCAAACTAGCAATTGATAAAAGTGACCTAGAAAGCTATAAGACAGTAGATAAAAATTTTTGTTATCAGATTTTTTTTTTTTGACAGAGTGGACAGTGAGAGAGACAAAAAGGTCTTCCTTTGCCGTTGGTTCACCCTCCAAATGGCCGCCACGGCCGGCGCACTGCGCTGATCCGAAGGCAGGAGCCAGGTGCTTCTCCTGGTCTCCCATGGGGTGCAGGGCCCAAGCACTTGGGCCATCCTCCACTGCACTCCCGGGCCACAGCAGAGAGCTGGCCTGGAAGAGGGGCAACCGGGACAGAATCCGGCGCCCCGACCAGGACTAGAACCCGGTGTGCCGGCGCCACAAGGTGGAGGATTAGCCTAGTGAGCCGCAGCGCCGGCCTGTTATCAGATTTTAAAAGGTCAATTTTTCAAGAACTAATTCAATTCTTGTCAAGCTATTCAAGATAACTGAAAGGGAAGAAATCCTCCCAAACTCCTTTTATGAGGCCAGCATCACCTGAATTCCAAAACCAGAAAAAAAATACAACAAAAACTACAAACCAATATCACTGATGAGCATAGGTGCAAAAATACTAGCTAATTGAATCCACCAAGACAACAGAAACATCCTTCACCCGGACCAAGTGGGATTCATCCCTGGTATATAGGGATGGTTCAACATTCGCAAATCAATGTGATACACCACATTAACAAACTGCAGAAAAAAAATTGATTATTTCAATAGATGCAGAGAAAGCATTTGATAAAATACAATACTCTTTTATGATGAAAACCATTAGAAAAGTGGGTATGGAAAGAACATTCCTCAGTACAACCAAGGCAATTTATGACCAACCCACAGCCAGCATCTTACAGAATGGGAAAAGTTGGAAGCATATCTACTAAAATCCAGAACCGGACCAGGATGCCCACACTGACTACTGCTATTCAGTATAGTACTGGAAGTTTTATCCAGAGCCATTAGGCAAGAAAAATAAAGGGATATTAATTGGAAAGAAGGAAGTCAAATAATCTGTTTCCAGATGAGTAACTATATATAGAAGGGAACCAAAAGACTCCACTAAGAGACTCCTGGAACTTAGAGAGTTTGGTAAAGTTGCAGGATATAAAATCAACAACCTTGGTGTATATAGACAATGCCATGGCTGAGAAAGAACTTGTAAGATCAGTCCTATTCAAAATAGCTACAAAAAATGTAAACACCTTGGAATGAGTATAACCAAGAAGTTGAAAGACCTCTACAATGAAAATTACAAAACATTAAAAAGAAACACATAAATAGAAAAATCTTCCATTCACATGGACTGGAAAAATTATCAATGTCCATACAACTGAAAGCAATTTATAAATTCAATGCAATCCCAATACCAATGAAATTCTCAGATCTAGGAAAAAATGATGCCAAAATTCATATGGAAATACAGAGACCCCCAAATAGTTAAATCAATCTTAAATAACAAAAAGCCAGAAGCATTACAATACCACATTTCAAGACATATTATAGGGCAGTTATTATCAAAACAGCCTGGTACCAGCACAAAAACAATAAACCAATGGAACAGAACTGAAACCCCAGAAATCAATCCACATATCTACAACCATCTAATCTTTGACAAAGGAGCCAAAATCTAATCCCTGGAGAGCAGTCTCTTCAACAAATGCTGCTGGGAAAACTGGATCTCTGTGTGCAAACTCCAAACTCACACCTTATACAAAAATCAACTCAAAATAGATCAAGGACCTAAATCTATGACCTGATAACACCAAACTACTAAAGGCCAATAATGAGGAAAACTCTGCAAGACATTGGCATAGGCAAAGACTTCTCAGAAAAGACCACAGAGGCACAGGCAATCAAAGCAAAAATAGACAAATGTGATTACATCAAGCTCAGAAGCTTCTGCAGTGCAAAGAAAATACTCAGCAAAGTGAAGAGGTAACTGACAGAATGGGTGAAAATATCTGCAAACTATGCAACTGTTAAAGGATTAATATCCAGAATCTATAAATAGCTAATGAAACTCAACAACAAACAATCCAGTTAAGAAATGGGCAAAGGACTTGAACAGGCATTTTTCAAAAGAGGAAATTCAAATGGCAAGCAGAGACATGAAAACACCCTCAGGATCACTAACCATCAGGGTAATGCAAATCAAAATCACAATGAGTTTTCACATCACCCCAGTCAGAATAGCTCTGATACAGAAATTTAACAAATGCTGACAAAGATGTCAAGAAAAAGGTGCCCTAATCCACTGCTGGTGGGAATGTAGTACAGCCATTGTGGAAAACAGTGTGGCGATTCCTCAGAAATCTGAAAATAGATCTATGTAAAACCAGCCATCCTCCTCCTGGGAATTTACCCAAATGAAATCAGCATATGAAAGTTATCTGTACCCTATGTTTATTTTATTGCAGCTTAATTCACAGTAGCCAAGATATGGGATCAACCCAGAGGTCCATCAACCAATGCCTCAATAAAGAAATGTGAGACTAGCATCCCATATGGTCACCAGTTCGAGGCCTGGCTGCTCCACTTCCCATCGAGCTCCCTGCTAGTGCATCTGGGAAAGTAGCAGAAGAGGGCAAGTGTTTGAGGCCCTGTACCCACAAGGGAGACCAGAAAGAAGCCTCTGGCTCCTGACAGCCTGGCCCCACCCTCGCTGTTGCAGCATGTTGAGAGTGAATCAGCACATGAAAGGTCTCTATCTCTCCCTCTCTAACTCTACCTTTAAAGAAATAAAATCTTAAAGTCAAGAGATGACTTTGAAAACAAAAATTTTGAAAAGTATGTTCACACTAGTATACAACTCCTAGTTTTTTTTTCCAGCACTACCACCAGGGTCTCATTCAGATATCTCTGATTGCCTAATGAGGTTGATCCAATATTAATTTTCAAAGCTAGCCAGCAATTACCCTTAGTACAAGGAGCTTTTCAATCAAGAATTACATATGGACACAGGCATTTGGCCTAGAGAATAAGATGCCAGACTAAGACACCTGTTTCCCACATCAGTGTACCTGGGTTCATTTCCAGCTCTGCTTCCTAGTTCCAGCTTCCTGCCAATGCAGGTATTGGAAGAAGCAGTGATTTAGTCCCTGCCACCTAAGGAGACCTGGATTATGCTCCTGGATCTAGCCCTGGCTGTTGCAGGCTTCTGAAGGCTGAACCTGCATATGGGAGATACCTCTCTCTCTTGCAAACAAAAATGTATTATTTATATTCAATTGTATATTTTTTTAAAAAGCCCTTCATTTTCTGCAGTTAACCGTGGATCATAACCTGCACCACCCTTTCAAAAGTAAACACTGGAATGTAACTCAGGGGATTTTACATGCTTCCATATAACTGAGAGTAGGACTTTGAGTTGCACTCCAAAGCACACCAGTTGTAAGGATGGGGTATTGAGTCTCAATGCTCCCATATAGTCTAGATTGAAAAATAAGCTGTTCTTCAATTAAATGAAACTATAAGAAGTTTTCAGGAATAAAGCAAGCCTAATGAAAATATACAAACACACACTCCTAAAGCCACAGGAATATTTAATCCTGTAAGGTAAATACCAGCTGTACACTTATTTTAAAAATTATAGTGCGACAATTTAATGTTTAGTGTGTCATTAAGATGTACCAAGGGCTATCATACTAATGGCAAACATAACAGCTGATCAACTCACTTAACTACTATCAGAAAATTATTACCAGAAAAAAAAGACTCAATACAAAATATAAATTTACCCAACTATGAAACCAAGCATCAGAGTTTCCTAATTAGTCTTAAGCTAATTGTTTTAGTCAAACTAAGAGCTTAAGTTCTAGGGAGGGTGGTTAAGGCACTGCTTAAGATGCCTGTGTCCCACACTAGAGTGCGTGGATTCAACACCCTGCTCTGGCTTCTGACTTCAGCTTCCTGCTAGAACCGACCCTGGGAGGCCACAGTGATGGCTCAAATCATTAGGTCCCTGCCACCGTGTAGGAGACCTAGACAGCAATCCCATCCCAGCCGCAGAAGCTGCTGTGAGCATTAAGGGCAGGAAGTATCAGATCTATCTCCTCTTTTGTCTCAATGCTTCCCCAATAAGTTTGTTTTCTTATTTTCTTTATAGTGGACTTGGTGATCATTTTGAAAAATATTCTCACCTGTTCAATGACATAAAAGGCAAATTCCAGGCGCTGTTTCTGGAGCATGGGAATCAGGTGCAAGAAAAAAATTGGAAGATGTTCATGGCGATTACGAAAAGGAATGAGAACTGCCACCTTTAAAACAAAAAAGCCACATGTAAGTCAACACAGAAACAAATCCTGCACGCAAAGGTAAAAACTGTTGCTTGAGAACTCCTGATGGTCTTAATGTCAAACCCTTTTGAATATTCTCACCAGAGATGTACTGCGTTGGCCTTGGGATGTGGGGAGGTATAAATGGGCCCTGAAGGTTGTTCTGAGGATTGTGGCCTTTATCCTGTGAACATCATGCATGGGAAACTACTGAAATATTTTTAAAGAGAAATCAGATTTGGTGATTACAAAGATTTCTGCAGGGGTAATATGGAGAGTAGACTAGAATAGACCAAAATGGATTTAGGGAAGAGCTGGTTGGGAAATGCAAGCAAGAGGCAATGGGAGCTTAAACTAAAGTGAGGTGGAAAAGAAGAGAAGCATATGGATTTTTTAAGACATTTAAGAGGTAAAGTGATCTGGTTACAGATTACATATGAAGAGCAAGGAACAGGATTGTCAAGAGTGATTTCCAGGTTTTAAATAGATCACAAACAACTTTCGGGATTTTAAATTGAATTTAGAAGAGGTTTCCTTGAGTATTTACCATCCTACACAGAGTCTGATTTGCAGATATTTTGAGAAACATAGCAAAAACCAAAATCTTCATACACAGGGTTCCAGCAAGAACCTACTAAAGGAACTCAGTCATATGAAAGAGTATCATGGAATATACATGAAATCTGATAATATTACAGTGTTCATCAGTATACACAAGTTCTTGATGTACTTTATAAATTTATTTCAGGGGTAGGATAATGTTCAGTTTAAAATGAAACTGATAATGAAGTTGTGGAAGACTTATAATAAGAAGGATCATCAAGTAAGCTGTGCAGACAAATTTTTGTTCTCATCCAAGAAGTAAAACTAAAACCTATTTATGGAAATGAAATTATTTCTCAGTACAAAGTTTTTTATATGATGAAACAACCACTTATTGGAACTCTCAAACTGAAGACTAAAATATACTATCTATAAAAAAAGTGATGAGAATAATTATCAATCATCACTTACTCAAATCCTCTATTTCCTGGACCCAAACTTTGTCATACAAGTTCTTCTTACAATTCAGGGTTTACCCTTGAAAAAGCTAAAGTGATTTTTAAATTAATTTTCTTGACAATTTCTGAGCTAATCTGACCTTATCATAATTGTGAATTTTGTCAGAAATTAAATCTGTTTTCTACAGATCATAAATTCCAAAATCACTGAATTTTCAAAGAATATAACAGTAAAACTATATCTAAAATACTTCTGTCTCTATAATAAGGATTTTTAAATACAAAGCAAACTGATTATAAAATTATGTAAGAACATCAAGATTTATTAAAATTTACACTAAATAAACTTTATTAATGAATGTATAAATACAAAGAATTGAGAATACTTCAGTTTTCGACCAAATATTTTTAAAACCAAGATATGACAACAGATATTATCAACAGCAAATAATACTTACCTGTGAATTGCACATTACCACGAGAGAAGTGTGCTAATTATTAAATGCTTTATTTAAAAACAGAACAGGGATGGGCATTTAGCCTAGATGTAACACACTTGCACCACATATTGGAATGCCCAGGGTTCAAGTCCCTTCTCTGTTCCTGATTACAGTTTACTGCTAATGTATACTCTGTGATACCTCAAGTCCCTGGGTTCCTGCCAGTCATGTGGGGGACCTGGACTGAGTTCTTGGCTTCTAGTTTTAGCCCTGGCAAGCATTTGGGGAGTGAACCAGTGAATAGGAGGACTCTTTCAGTTTTTTCAAAATAAGAAACAAATGTCTGCTCTGACGCTAACTTTTTTTCATATTCATAATAGTTATTTCATATTTGGTGAATTGTGGGAACTAAGCCTCTGCCATTGCTACTACTTCAGACCTATTTAATTTGCCCGCAAAGTATCACTTGGTTCACATGTCTGAGGACCATGAGGCCTCCACAGCAACACAGTCTCAACATCCAGGACTTCCCCTCAACCTGCAACACAGTGACCACTACCACTACCGCAGGACATCCCTACTGATTGGGGACTTATTGATGGGCTTCACTATCAACCGTTATCGCATTCAAGGAATTTCCAAATCAATATAGCTGCCAAACCAGTTCAGAAAATCCTAGGCTTACTCAATATAGGAGAATGATGAAAGGTGAGAGGACAGAGAGGAGCTGGGTGGCAAGTGCACACCCTACCATCCCCGTGTCCTGCAGTGTATCAGTGCGACAACTTCTAGCAAAGTAAGGGTTCAGTTTCCCTTCCTGGTTTTGCATCTGACCACAAGTTGGCAGCCTATGACATAAAGCAAATGGGCTATAATAGCAGTTAAGCCAAATTATAGATATCTAAAGCTATTAAATTGCTGCAGCATCCATATTAAAGACAGTCTGTATTAATTAAGTACAATTAGGCTGAATGATGCATTGACCATATAAGGATAAACCAAGGCAAAATCATAGACCCTAATACAATACTTTCTTCAATGAAGCATTTAAAATGTCAAGAATATTTTTTCACTTGAATAAGGAAACTGAGAATGTTGCAAGAGAAAAATAACTGCCAGTGTCTTGGAAAATTCAAACAAGATGAAATCACATTGTAACAGCAAATGTCTAAATTTTATTGAGATGTTATCAAAGATTATGAGTGATATGTCTAAAGCACAATTTTTATTAGAATAAAGCTAAATAGTATCTTAAAAATTCACTGTGCATGGTACTATGACTACAGAATGACATTCTTAATAGTTTAAAAGTTTATTGCCTAGGAAAAGACAAGTTCAATGTTCTGTAATCATTTATTTTGAGGTTTAATAGTCTTCATTTTAGGACATTCTTGTACATGCCCTAATTTGCTATCTGAGCCACTCCCTTGTTAATATATCTCTAGTGGAGTTAGAACATCTGGTCATTATCCTCTGAAAAATCAACACTCCATCTTCCTGAATCTCTCCTCACACAAAATCACCCTCTTCAAAATCTGAATTTATGCACCAATTCTTTCATTGCTTATTTTCTCCTACACATACCATGAGGAGACAATCAAGAAAAATGCTTACCACTTCAATTGCCTACCTACATTTCTGTCTCACTTTCGAACTCAAAGCACCCCATCAGCTACAGTGTCCCTAAGTGACACAGCTTTGGATATGGCTACTTTCACAGTAGCATCTAGCTATCTGTCACTGACTCCAACCGAAGGAAGCAGTTTCTATCATGCCCTCATTCTCCTACAGGGCTTGAAGTTCCATCTTTCTCTCCCTCTTTCCTCCCCTTACCTACAGGAACAATTCTCAGAGTAGAGACACTTGATAAAAAACATGGGTTCCTGTTCTTTCCCATCGACAGAATCAGAACACCTGAGGACTAAGTCCAACAATCTCAGGCAGTTCTGGAACAAGTGGCTAGGACACTTCACTGAGGAACCTAGGACTGGAAACGTAACTGAAGGCTGGAGTAGTAACAGCATCAAGCAGCTGCCTGATTGGATGAGCCTGTATGCTTTAGTAAGGCTAGTGGTTCAAACCCTACACCTGAACCTGGATGGAGATGTGGTGTCACCAGTAATGACCTGCAAAGCATTACCTTACCTTACCTTACCTTACCCCCTCCCAACCTCCCTTTTAAAAATAAGCTCATTTATTATGGTGTCCAACCTGTGCTGAAATCTTCTATTCAAACCTAAAAAATTCAGGAAAAGATCTCAGGTTCTAATTAGCTGGTCATCAATTAACTTGGTATTTTTTTAAATAAAAAAAAGCCTTGAATATTAATCAAGTTATTGGCAGATATTTAACATAAATCTACTTATTTCTTTTTTCTTTGTCAACTGTGTTCAAACTGTGTTAATAAAAATACTAAAGGGGCCAGCACTGTGACACAGATGTTAAAGCTGCTACCTGCAATGCCAGCATCCCATATGGGCGCCAGTTCGAGTCCTGGCTGCTTCACTTCCGATCCAGATCTCTGCTACAGCCTGGAAAATCAGTGCAAGATGGCCCCTGCACCCATGTGGGAGACCCGGAGGAAGCTCCTGGTTCCTGCCTTGGGATCAGCACAGCTCCAGCTGTTGCAGCCATCTGGGGAGTGAACCAGCAGATGGAAGACCTTTCTCTCTGTCTCTGCCTCTCTGTAACTCTTTCAAATAAATAAATAAATCTTAAAGAAAAAATACTAAAATGACACATAATTAGACTGTAAACACAAAGAGCGGGGCATGGGGGTAAATTATCTAATTAAATACAGCAAGTGCAGCTCACTTCTGAAGGCTCTCCAAAATTTCCCTCATACTGTTAGTTCCATAGCTCAGAACTAAAGACTCAGGGCTGGTGCTGTGGTGCAGCAGGTTAACACCCTGGCCCGAAGTGCCAGCATCCATATGGGCACTGGTTCAAGACCCAGCTGCTCCACTTCCAATCCAGCTCTCTGCTATGGCCTAGGAAAGCAGGAGGAGATGGCCCAAGTCCTCGGTCCCCTGCACCCACGTGGGAGACCCGGAGGAAGCTCCTGGCTCCTGGTTGGGATCGGTGCAGCTCTAGCCGTTGTGGCCAATTGGGGAGTGAACCATCGGATGGAAGATCTCTCTTCTTCTCTTTCCGCCTCTCCTTCTCTCTGTGTAACTCTGACTTTCAAGTAAATAAATAAATCTTTAAAAAAAAATTAAAGACTCTGAGAAGGTTTGCTAAAAGCTGAAGTAAGAGCGGTTTCATACAGTTCTTACATAAAACAAGCCAATGTAAAAATCCCTGAATTAGTTTTCTCCTGGGAACTCCTTGCAATACTATAACCTACTGTTTCACAAGAAGTTTATACTCTACAAATACTTCTAAGTAGGAGCTACTCGTGTGCTATATACTATCTCCCAGAAAATAAGGAGGAAACAAATTATACAATTTTAAGGCTGTCTGATATAAACTGTTAAAAAAGGGTAAGAATACAAAGTTTTCAAAAACCAAATTATTCTACTAGTATGCTACTGTGTATCCACCTGAGGGGTATGTTCTACATGCAACTGTACTTCAAAAAGCTCATGGAAAAATGGAATTAAAAGATGTTTAATTTAGCCAGCGCCACGGCTCACTAGGCTAATCCTCCGCTTGCGGCGCCGGCACACCAGGTTCTAGTCTCAGTTGGGGCACCGGATTCTGTCCCGGTTGCCCCTCTTCCAGGCCAGCTCTCTGCTGTGGCCAGGGAGTGCAGTGGAGGATGGCCCAAGTCCTTGGGCCCTGCACCCCATGGGAGACCAGGAGAAGTACCTGGCTCCTGCCATCAGATCAGCACGGTGCGCTGGCCACAGTGCGCCAGCCGTGGCGGCCATTGGAGGGTGAACCAATGGCAAAAGGAAGACCTTTCTGTCTCTCTCTCTCTTACTGTCCACTCTGCCTGTCAAAAAAAAAAAAAAGTTTAATTTAGTGTGAAAATATTTTGAAATCAAAGTATATGAGGTCTTCAAAAGTTTAAAAAAAAAGTACATTATGAAAAAAATACTTTTCAAAAATATTTTGCACCAAAATACCTCTTCACTTTTCCTTGAGCTTTCTGAAGTCCCCTCAAAATGTATACAAGTATATGAGTAACAACCTCCACACACCCCACAGCCTTTATGACTATTTTTCTTCCTTTAGCATTCAACATACCACCCACATAATAAAGATTTTTAAAAAACTGAAATTATGTAAATTGAGCCCTATTTTATACAGATGCAAACGTGAGGAAGATCCGTCTAGAACTATGAGAAGATTCATTTATTGAATGTACTCTGGGAAACAGCATAAGGCAATTATGAAATGGGAAGTTTGCTAAAATTTGTACTGAAAGCCATTTATGCAGCTTCACAGCTTGTCTGAAGCAATGAGAAAGCTGAACATCTATTTATCATTTGCAACAAGGCCAAAAGTCATTTATTTGTCTCATAAAGTCAACTCAACAAAATTATGTGAGGTGCTTACCGTGTACAAGACAATGCGCTCTGCACTGGGGATAAGTTATACGCAGCCTCAGACACACAGAGTTCAAGATCAATGATTTCAGAGGCTCTTTTCCATTAGTTTTATAGCAAATAATGGTCCTTTTTATCAGTAATGGTTTTGTTGGCACTAACATACTAATATGTTAGAATACCAGTATTTTAAAAGAGAAACTGAAAACTGCTTTCAGATTAGGTTACAACACAATCCTTAGGATATAGCATTTGATATAATCATTTGTGGTTTCCATTAGAATTAAGTAAATGCCATTTTCACTCAAACATTACGTGAATATGCACCTACCCAATTTCACAGTAGTGACAGTAACTCTGATTTAAATTACATTTTCCTTTTTTTTTTTTTTTTAAGCAGCAGAGGCAGACCCACCCACTTAGTTTTCCAAACTATACACTGAATAGAACTGACACATCAAAAACATCAAAGGCTTGTGCTCCACCTTCTGAAACAGCGGGCCTGCCGTGACCTCCAAGCAGCCACTTCAGAATTACTGGACTCAGAAACAGAGCTTGAAAATGCCAATGCCAACCCCAACTAAAAATCAAGATAATAATATACTCTAATGAGTTCTCATGGTTCCAGAAATTGGTGGGGCTCTGCATGGGGTATCAATATTCATCAGGGACACACACAGGAAACAAAAGAATCATAGCCTCTCTTACTACAGAATAAAAAAATCTGTTTCCCAAACCAAATTCAAGGTGCATATTTTTTAACCAGGAACTCCAGGAGACTGGATGCGTGAGCATATAGTTTGTAGACGCATGAGAAAGTACTTACAGTCTTCACAAGTGCACCATGAATCTCATTCAGCCTGTAAATACGTATGCATTAGATTATACACATTTTCATCCTTAAATTCAACAAGATTCAAAGGTATTTCACTCTACATCTTGAGTCAAGCATTTTTTCCTCAAAGGCATAGTAAGAACTCACTTATGAAAAAATGTGCCTCACCTTCCATCTGGGTTTACAATCTTTAGGCCTCCAGTGACCTCCTGGCTCAATATCTAAATCCTTGGAGAAGAGTTGATGAATTTCATCAAAACTGACTTCACTTACATTGACATTGAGAAATCCCCCTATAAGTCAAAAATGTGAATAACTGTGTTAATATTTTTTGTGTGAAAAATGCATGTAAGACAAACAACAATCAGCAGGGTGATAGCATAACTTAGTTGTCAGGACAGTGCAGTTTACTGCTGTTGTCACCACCCAATTATTAATAGCACACCCATTTCCTTTTTAGTTTACATAATTTATATGCTCGCCTTACTCCATTTGGTAAATCAGGTAAAGAAAATAAAATTCTTTAATAACCATTTTACTTTGGGGTAATATAACTGAATATTTTAATATCCTTCAGAAAATAGCACATACATTGTAACTTAGCATATTATTGCAATTAATTATTCAAATATTTTTAAACTATTTTTAATTTCAGCATTTTCAACAAATGGAATACGATGGCACAACTTCAGACTGACTGGAAGCTGAACCCTAGCTTCCACTCGGGAAATTATTTAACCTCGCTGTGACTCAGCATCCTCCTGTGTAAAAAAGAACAGCAATGCCAACCTCTAAAGACGGCTGCAACCATTAGATAAAGTACAGCCAGCCCCTGTATATACATGTTCTGCAACTTCAGATGTCTGGAGAAAAAAAAGTTGCATCCGTACTAAACATATACAAGCTTTTTTCCCTCGGCATTATTTCCTGAACTACATAGTATAGCAACTATTTACATAACCTTTATACTGTATTAGGTATTATAAGTAATCTAAAGTTTACAAGAAGATGTGACATGTTATATTCAAATATTGTACCTTTTTATGCAAAGCCCCTGATCACTCTCAGATTGGAGGTGGGGGGCAAGGTTTGCAATCAATTACCTGTAGATACCAGGGACAACTGTAGTCTGTGTGAAGGATCCAGTACTAGTTACTAGGATCCAGGCACTAGGTACACTCAAATATTAGCTACTATCACTGTTATCCACTGACATTTCTTTTGGAGAGGGAATTTGCAAATGTAATTCAACATTTATTTTGAGCACCTATGATATTACAGGTCCCTTGGTATGTAACACTGGAAAGCCACTGTCTTCTAACATGTTCCTAGTCTAACACTCACTCTCCAAATTAACAAATATATGACCTTACTGGATAGGTTTTTACTAATAGCTTTTCTAACATACACCACCGAAATACCAATCACTCAGTTGGAAAACCACTTCCATTAACCCAGTCAAAAACAGAACTGAGAAATCAGGAAGTCTCTGTATCTTCACTTGAGAATTGTAGCAGCTGCATGATCACTAAGGTCCCCCCAAAGCAATGCTGCCCTCAATGCTTTCACTGAGATCAGTCTAGGAAATACTAGAATAAAACTACAGATCACCTTTTAGCAGGTAACTGTCACATAGGTACAAAGTGCTCCAGAAAGCCTCTGGCCTAATTCTTCCCTCTCACCTCCTCATCTCACAAAACACAAAGCAGAAAATGTTGAAGCTTCCATTTCAAGTCTTTGGAGCCTTTCATGGATACAATTTTACATATGGAACACTGAGCTTCTCTTTAGACAGCCCCTTTCCTCTGCTATCATATGTTCTATATGGTTTTCACAGTGTTCTGGCTTCTCATCCACACTTCATCCTAACCAGCAGGACTGTAGGCCTGCACTCAACACAGGCGTGCTAGAGAACAGTATTTTCAAATGCAAATATTTGTTTCCCAGTGGAAGCTAAGGAAAAAATTAGCTATCTGCTAGTAAAACTCCTGTTCCATTATAATCAAATACCCACGGCTTTGTGTGACAAGATAGGCAAAGTAGCTACTCTTAGGTCAACTTTACCTAAAGCAAGGAGAAACCTATGCACTTGCAAAGAAATTGTAAGCCAAAGGTAAGGCCGATAGTCAGTCATCCCTAAGTAGAGATTATCATGACTCAGCTGACAAAAACAGACTCTAGAACTGTAATCAGATAAAAGCCACACAAATGGATCTGATGCATTTAATAGTACACATGATTGCTGAAATGATAGTAATTCAGCTGAATAATAAGCAGTTCACGTAAGTAACTGAAGTTGGTACTGTATGCACTGTTAGGCCAAAGTTTTTGTCTCTTTTCTAGCTTTATTGCTTCAACAGCTGCAGTCTTCATTATTGTCAGCAGTTGCCTTCGGCAGCATCTGCAGTTTAATTTCCTTCTCCAATGCACAGGCACGGGCAAAGTAAGGCAGGCCTGTCTGCCTCCTCAACGAAGGAGCTGCCTGTTCATCACTATCCCCAGTGCCTGGAGCGCCCCTCCCCATCTACACCTGTCAGAGCCTCCACGCGCCTAGTGCTCTCTGCTCTGAAATCTTAATATCCTGCTGGCTGAGGGCCAGAAGCAACCCAGGGGCAGGCAGCTGTCAGCAGCAATAGCAACATTCTGACACTGGGGGGCGCCAGTGGAGGGGGTGGAAAACAGGCCTCCCAGCACAGGCAGAGAGCTGCAGTCCATGCAGGATGGGGTGGAGTTAGGGAGAAGATCCTGGAGAGGAAGGGAAGTGCTACAGAAAGAGGACCCAGAAAGCAAGAACCTCCCCGAGGGGCCTGTGGCTGGCGGAGAGAGGCCAGGTCCCCCACGGGGGCCTTGTTCACCTCTTCTACACAAGGGTATCCTCTTCGGACTCCATTCAAGAAACTTTTCCAGGGTTTAAAAGACGGCAGCCTCTGACGCCATCTGCTGTGAACGAAGCCAGGGAGGCTCTATCCCTCTCCCCTGGACAGGAGTAAGCCAGCAGCCAGGGCAGCCTTTGCAGGTCACATGCTGAGATTTCCAGGGCATCTGAGGAGAGAGGAGCCACCGAGAATTCCCAGTCTTCACTCCCCACCAGGACTAAGCCTGATGATGGTTTCCAACGGGAAAAGCTCTCTCCTTCCCAAGTTAGAGATTTAAAAGCCGAAAAAATATACGGACATTTCCCATGTGCTTGGTCATGTTATGAACGTAATGACTGACCAAAGACTGAATCTCACTATTTTTTGAAGGTGTCCCTGGGGTTAGAAAAGAAAGAGCAGGAGGGGGCTGGCACTGTGGCATAGCAGGTAAAGCTGCCACCTGCAGTGCCAGCATCCCATATGGGCACTGGTTCAAGACCCAGCTGCTCCACTTCTGATCCAGCTCTTTGCTATGGCCTGGGAAAGCAGAAGATGGCCCAAGTCCTTGGGCCCCTGCACCCGCGTGGGAGACCCAGAAAAAGCTCCTGGCTCCTGGCTTTAGCCGTTGTGGCCAACTAAGGAGTGAACCAGCAGATGGAAGATCTCTGTCTCTCTCTCTTTCTCTCTCTCTCTCTCTGCCTCTCCTCCTCTCTGTGTAACTCTGACTTTCAAGTAAATAAATAAATCTTAAAAAAAAAAAAAAAAAAAAAGAAAAGAAAGAGCAGGAGATCCAAGTGCCCGAAAAGAGGGCCTCTGCCAATAGCCTGGAGGGTAAAGGTGAGCGGCATGAAACCAAGTCACCTGCAGCTCCCACTCAGACCCGGCCACCAGGGCTGTGTCGCAAACTACAGCAGCCCCCTCAGCCACGGGAAGAACCTCAGGACCCCCAGTGAATGCCTGGAGGCTCAGGCAGCACCAGCCCTGAATATTACACACTGTGTTTATCCCTGTGCACACATACCTATGATAAAGTTTAATTTATAAACCAGACACGGTAAGACATGAACAACCATAACCGATAATTAGCACAACATGCCGTCATAAAGGCTATTTAAAACTTAGGAACTGCTTATGTCTAGAATTTTCCATGTAATATTTTCACACTTCGGTTAACTGGAACCTGGACACTGCGGATGAGACCCCTCTGTGGCTGCTATGTGGAAGAACAACTTCGCTGCATGGTTGTTGACTGGTTGTTGACGCTGGGCGTTTACCCTAAACCCCCTACAGCTGACCTGGCAAGGTTCACAACAGTGCCTCTCCTGGGGGAAGCCGGACCCAGAAGGGCTGGGGTTCCTTAGGTATCTTGGGCCCAAACGATTGGCTTATGGTGCTGTGGTTTATAAAGTATTACATGACATGACTTAGGATATTATCTATTAAAATATAATTCTTCATACAATAAATATTGATACATAGGAATTACCCAGATTTATATTTTTCTTATATTTGAGGTATAATTTAAGGTACAGAGATGTTTTCTCTGTAAATCACTCACTTTCTAGCCTCCATCTGTTCCCATCTAAAGCCTAATTTTTGGATGCTTTGGCTTTTGTAAATGCTCTACCCCCAGCATTTCCAGTTATGCACAGCCCAAAACTGTGACGACAATGTGGGAGAAAGACCTCAATTTTCCCTAGAAATATCCCTTTAGATGAATTCACCTCAAAAATCAAAAAAGACTTTTCATGATACAAAGGCATGTTCCCCCTCCTTCACCCCACCGTGCACACCCTGAGAACAACTCTGAGGTTGAACAGTCATGGGAGCCATCCTGCCATCCTCACCGGCGGTCCCCTTTGAAGTCAACACCAGACACTGCCTGTTTCAAACGCTTTGCTAAAGCTTCCTGACTTCTAGAATTCTATGACCTCTACTTAACAGGTGATCTCTTACTTAACTACTCTTGAGTGACCACAACCTGAGCCTTCTAGCCGTGGAAGGTGCCTAGTCACACATCCTCAACACCAAGAGCAGTGTCTGGGTGAAGATGAATGAAAGAACAGGTAGAAATGACATGGCTAAGTTTCCTTCCTACCTACATTTTCCGTTCTTGGGGCTCCATCACGTGCTAAAATATGTCTTTAAGACATTTGTGCAAAACATGTCCCACATGACCCAAAACAGCAGCTCCATGTACTTCCCAAGTTCTGGTCTCCTAATCTTGGCCATAAGACCCAGTTCTTAACACTCATTTTCCTCCCTTGCTCTGGTTCTCCCTTGATTTACTCTGAATGACAAATATAGCCTCCAATTAACAGTCTTTGGTATCTGGTCCCAGCTTTGCCTTGTAATCCACCCAATGAACCCTTGGCCCACTCCTGGGAGCCTCATATCTTTCATTACATTCTTCCAAACTGCTTTTCTCCTCCCTGACT